AATATTTAGGTTTAGAACATTCTTTGCAAAGCCTTCTTACTCTTTAATCATTTTTCCAATATTTTAGGTTTTCAGATAATCAATCAATGACATTTTCTTCTCACGAGAATCATGTTGTCAACTTATACCTTCTTATGTCATAGTCTTAACGTAAAGTATTCTAAAACCTTTCAAAACACACAAATATATATTATAACATGGAGATTGAGATACTGGCTAATAAACAAAATGGTCAAAATTACAAAAAAGCAAACCAAGAAACTTGCGGAGTAATAGGGCTCAAAGCTATTTTAGTACAGTGCACGTGGAGAAAGCAGATACATTGTCTCGCAACAGAAAACAAACACAACAATGGACCAAATCTTAGAGTTTTTATCAATCTTAATCTCATGTCTCTTGATGATCCCCCAAATCCTTTTCTTATGCCAAACAGATCAATGTGTGTTCCAGAGTCTAACAGTAGCAATAACAACACGACCACTTTCACACACATTCTGCTAATTTCATCCATTGGCTTGCTCTTAGCCGTTGCACTGCATTACCGTTTAAGGAAGCTACGTAACTCCAAGATCATCCCTCGTATCAGATTGTCTCACAAACACAAAGGCCATGAGAAGCTCGAGAGATTCTCTCACTACGTCGGTAAAATCAATCTACATACCCTCTTTGAAATGTCCATGATCATATATTTTTTGATGCATTATAAGGAAATGTCCTTTCTCCTTTCGCAGTGCGGCAGATGGGTTTCAAGGACAGGAGAGAATGTCCTCATCTCTGCAAATTAGCCAATGAGTACATTCGGAAATCGGATTGCTGCGAGGAAGACATTTACAGCTTTTTCTCTGAAGAGCCTGATGCTGATTCTCTCTTCATTAAGCTCGTCGAGGAGTTTGAGAGATGTATTCTTAGTTACTTTGCTTACCACTGGACCCATGCGGATCTCATGATCAGTCAGGTTACTGCTGGAAAACAGAAACAATAAAGTTTCGTAATCCTTTCTTGTTAATTAGCATCATATTTAATAACAGATTTTTATGGATTTTGTCTCAGATACTCAGTGCCGATGTTGAGCCCAAGAAGAAGCTCAAGCACATTGTCATGGCGGCTACGAGGTGAGTCTAAACAAGAAAAAGCAATCCGGATTGTGTTTTCTTTTAGTGATTTCCTGAATGATTGTTCATTGGTTGGTATACAGGGAACAGAGGTTTGAGAGGGTGACTAAAAATCTGAAAGTCGCAAGAGTCTTTAACACACTTGTAGAGGAAATGAAAGCAATGGGGATCGCATCCGTTGATGACTCAGAGTGTACAGAAGTTATGGCTCCAGTTGCACACAAGGACCGAAGCCCGGTTCTACTCCTTATGGGTGGTGGTATGGGTGCAGGAAAGAGCACTGTACTAAAAGACATTCTCAAAGAGTAAATAAGATTCAATAAGTTCACTTAGATCTTTATCGGCATCTGTCATTGTTCGGAGTTTCTTACACATTTACCTGTACATGCTTGTATGCTTTGGATCAGACCATTTTGGGCAGGAGCAGATGCTGTGGTAATCGAAGCAGATGCCTTCAAAGAATCTGATGTGATATACAGAGCTCTAAGCTCCAGAGGCCACGTTGATATGATCAAGACTGCTGAATTCGTAAGGTTCTTTGTTTCCTTATAGGTGCAACAAGAATCCTTTTACACAAAGAACCTGCGCCGTGTCAAAATGTGCAAGGAATCAAACCAAGTTTTAGTAACTTTTCCAGATATGGAAATGTGCATAAATAGAAAGATGATCATATATACTCAATATCCAACGAATTCTTGTGAATCTCTCTTGACGATGAAATGGAATTAAAACAGGTTCACCAATCATCAACAGATGCAGCATCATCACTGCTCGTTACAGCTCTAAATGAAGGGCGGGACGTGATAATGGATGGAACACTCTCTTGGGTACCATTTGTGGTTCAGACCATAACCATGGCAAGGAATGTGCATCGCCATCGTTACAGAATGGGAGCTGGCTACAAGGTTGGTGAAAACGGAGATGTCATAGAGAACTATTGGGAACGCATAGGCGAAAGACAACAGCTGCAAGAAGATGGAAGGGAGAGAAAGCCATACAGGATAGAGTTAGTTGGAGTTGTGTGCGATGCGTATTTAGCAGTGATTCGAGGCATTAGGTGGGAATGTTCCAAGTGATTTTTGGAATTGTGTGTTCTTAAACCAATTGTGTGTTGTCATAACATAAGGTTTTGGCATAACCATATATAAATATATGCAGGAGAGCAATAATGTGTAGAAGAGCGGTTAGGGTGAGATCTCAGCTAAGATCTCACAAGAGGTTTGCGGATGCGTTTCTTACCTATTGCAACCTAGTTGACAATGCCAGGCTTTACTGCACCAATGCTCTCGAAGGTTCCCCAAAGGTTAGACCTGAGTTTCTTCTACTCTTCCTCCTTTTAAGATGCAATAGCCCTGAAAAGTAGAGACTATGGAAGTGAGAATCAAATGGTGAAGAATGTGGTTTGTGCAGCTGATAGGGTGGAAAGATAAGGAAAAGACATTGCTAGTGGATCCAGAGGAGATAGACTGTTTGAAGAATGTAGGGAGGTTAAACGAGAATGCAGATTCAATTTACGAGCTATACAATAGACCAAACCCTGCTTGTGAAGCAGGATCGATATGGAAAGACATTGTTCTATCACCTTCCAGGTTCAACATTCAACAGGAGCTCAAATACTCAATTCAGAAAGTTGAAAGATCCAAACAATATCTCCAAGAAACACCAAGGTGAGACAAGATGAAGATAAAAGGCAACAGAAAACAGGAACAGTGTCAGAAACCAAAGAGAACTACACCTAGAACATTGGATGTAAGAGATGAGGATCAATCTCACCTTAACTTTGCAAAACTTGTTTGTTCTTAAGAGAGGCCAGTTCCTTTTATCTGCATTCTCTCATAAAGCAATGAAACAACCACACAAGCAAGAACCAATTAAGGTAAAGAACTAGATGAACACTAGGTATTGATCAAAAGCTTAATTTTTTCAAACAAACCAAAAAAAATTACAAGAGAAAGTTTCAACAAAAAACCAGAAAAGAAAAAACTTTGGGAAAACAAGCTCCTTCAAGGATGATGATTCAATTATACAAGACTACCCTATAGAAGCTAACCAACCACCACCACCATGTATTCAATCTCTACCCTAACCACCATCTTGTTCACTTCTTAACCTTCCTAGTCGATGTCCTTTTAGCCGGAGATTTCACCGTCTTCGCCTTCACGCTCTTAGCCGGAGCCTTCTTAGTCGCAGCAGCTTTCTTAGCAGGAGCAGCCTTCTTCCCTGGAGATGTTCTGGTCGAAGTCCTTGATGCTTTAGCTGGTCTCTCCTTAGCCTTTGGCTTAGCAGCAACAGCTTTAACCTTGGAAACAGCAGCGACGGTCTTTGATTTAGGTTTAGCAGTAACTTTAGCCTTACGAGCAACACTTGTTGTTGTTGTTGCTTTGGGCTTAGCAGCAGCAGTAGTTTTCTTGGTTGCTTTGGCTTTAGCTTTAGCAGGAGCCGGAGCTTTAGCCTTAGGTTTAACGGTAGCTGCTGGTTTCTTCTTGGCCGGAGCCGGAGCAGGAGCCGCCGGTGGTTTCGGTGCGGCGGATTTAGCAGAAGGAAGTTTGAAAGAGGCTTTGACTTTAACCAATTTCCCAGAAGCAACAAGCCTCTTGAGATTGACAAGCAAAAGCTTCCTAAAAGTAGGAGGAAGCGATTTCTGCTTCTCCTCGATGAATTTCTGAATCGCGTATTGACTAGATCCAGTTCTCTCCTTCAACGTCACGATTGCGTCTTTAATCATCTGCGTCGATTCCAAATTACAACAACAAAAATCAGAATCTAAATCTCATGAATCTGAAAATCGAATTTCAAAAAAGGAAAAAAAAAAAGGTAGATCGATGGAAATCTGAGAGAAACAAACCTCTTCGTAGGGAGGGTGAGATGAAGTAGTTTTCTTCCTTGGAGCCTTAGTTACAGGCTTCTTCGCCTTAACTTCTTTCGTCTTCTTCGCTTTAGCACTTTTCGCCGCCGGTTTTTTCTCCTTCGCCGGCGTCTTTACCGCTGCATCAGCATCTCCTGATTCAACCGTCGTTGGAACGTTTTCTTCGTCTGCCGACATCTCTCTCTCTCTCTGAAGAAGAAGTTTGTAGAGACTTGAAAAGAAAACTGTAAAATGAAATGCGTTAGAGAAATTTGTGATGAGAGACGACGACAACTATGGGAATGTTTATATAGTCAGATGTGCCTGAGGCAGAGTTTTCAATCTCTTCTCTCATTGGTCAATTCAGTGAGTACACGGATCGAAGTAGCAACTCAGGTTTGAATTTGAGCCGTTAGATGTAAATCTATCGACGGTGTGGAAATAAGGATTGCGAATGTAAGGATGAGGAGGTTATTAGACGTGGATAGGTGCTTTTGGGTATGTTTGGTGTGCTTTTAGCCTCGGTTAATCTTATCATAACTTGAAATTTACTTCGTTAAATTTAATTTTGTTTTCTTTACTGTATAGATAATTCTGTAAGGTTTCTTTTGAGTGTCTGAGCGTTTATAATGGATTAATATACGATGAGAAAATCGGATATGAAGCAAGGTTGGTCAAAACTATTGTTTGTTTTGATAGTATTACGGTATATTTGATTTTCCGGAGAATGCTTGTGGGAAAATTTTGGATGGTTATATTCATTGGAAACTAGACTAATCATGGAGTGTAACGAACCAAGAATTGTTGAAATCGGATCATGTTTGGGTAGAAAATCATGTTGTTGAATCCAACCAAAGATGACCATCCCATCTTCTAGTGTATTGGTGCACATAACTTGTTGCATGTGTGATGTGTCTCATCTTTAAACGAGTACTAACTAAAATGACGAAAGCATTATACATTGAGTACATCTTAACATTATGAAAATCATAAATCTTGTAATGATTCACAAGTTTAAATTTGTTATAAAAGTTAATTTTATGGGATTTTGTAAAGCATATGCGTAGTTTCACTATAATGCTGATGTATGCAAACTATGCATCTAGCTTCTAAAAGCATACATGTACTTCTAATATCAATAGTATATGATATTCATTAGCAAACATAAATCTTTGTTATGAATTACGAGATTTATGAAAACATATGGCTGTGTATTTATCCAGCACAGTAATAAAATTTTTTATATGGAATATTATATCGGTTTGAAATTTTCCCGCGTTTTTAACAGTTTATATATCGAATGGTTATATAATGTCATCAACAAAAAAAAATATGTATGGATGATACTCGTATATTAGATTGGGTGTAAATAAAAGTTTGAGGAATTTTATTTTAAAAAAAATATATTAAAAAGGAATGTTT